TTTAAGTACTCATATCAAATAGATGCATTCTCTGTGGAGCATGCAAATGAAAAATAGCAGTAATTGTGTGAGTCAAAATTCATGCCAGTTAGTGTTGAAACTTAAAACATAGCAAAAACAGAAGGCACTATCCAATCATTAACAATTTCATAGCTTTCCTACATTTGAGAAATGAATACTCACATAAATTTTGTGTTTATAGGCATGTTTTTGTAAGAATTGTGGGTGTGCCTATCTTAACAATTATTTCCTGTATCTTGAAAAAGTATTCTCCACATTTTAAATGTTGTATATTAGAATACGTCTTGTATTTGTCCTTTGAGGGTTTTTTGTTTTGTTTTGTTTTTTCTAGTCCATTATTCTCTAGCCCATTAGTTCTAGCCCATTATTTTGTTTTTCTTTTTGGGGTACCCCAATTATTAAAATAATATTCCTTCTTTGCTTACCTTCTCTTTCTGCCACTTTCTCTCATTTTTCTCCTCCCTTTCTTCATCCTTTTCCTCTTTTATTGTTCTCCTTTTTGCTTTTCTTCTTTTCCACTTATTAAGTTTTTCTTGATCTCTTATGTACTTTGTAATTTATACTTTAATATTGTAGTTTTATTTCTTCTATTTTTTCTCTTTAATCAATTCTTTTTATTCTTTTTCATCCATATTGTAATTTTTTGAGTTTCTAACTCAAGTTATTGTTTATATTTCTCCATGCTTACTTGAACATATTTCATTTACTTTTCAAATATTGTTTTACAATTTTTTTTTTTGCTTTTTTGTGGGCAGTGGCTAGATTTTCATCTGATGGGCCATTTTGAATTGACGTTCTGAAGCTGGGCAATCTTCCCTTCTGTTGAGTTTTTGTCTGTTCATTTTTATTGATTTTTAGTTGCAGCCAATTTCCTACTTTTCTGGTGCCCTCTTTTTTCAGTGTAGCAGAGCACAGTGGGGTTTGTGTGTGGAGGGTGGAGATCTTCTTGTGGTCTGCTAAAATGCCTTGTAGGTGTGTTTTATCATGTACAAGCCTGAGTATTTTTTCTCCTTCCCACCTAGTAGCAAATGTCTTTCACTACTTTTTACTCCTTTCTCTTGCACTGCAGTTGTGCCTGTTAAGGTTGTTACTTGGAAATGGATGTACTCTCCTTCCTTTTTTCTAGTTCCTGCTCTGGGCTAATGGAACACAGTTTTACAATTTTTACATTTAGTGTAAAAAGCAAAAGGTTTTACTCTTTGGGCAGTGGCTTTAGGTCACTTTTAGCGTCTCCCTCATTTCCCCCTTGCCTCTTTCCTTCACATTTTCTAAACTTGCACCTTTACTTCATGCTTAAGTGTGGAATGGGTGTGAGTGTCAAGCTCCCTCTCTGTGATGTTATCTGCCTCTCTGCTGTTTATGTACTATCTTAAATTATTTTTGTAGACTGTCTTGGACAGCACTGACCTTGGCAGCTGTCTTTACTTTCGGCTCACACAAGAATTATTGGAGGCATAGGCCAGGAGGATCCTTTCCTGAAGAGATTTGTTTGATTTTCCTGGGCACTTAGAGGTGCCATCTGGGGTTCCCTGCTTCCATTTTCACAGCCCGGGGCTCTCGGCTTGCCCGGCAGATGTGACACCTGACTGCAGGTCTACGCAGGGTGGGTTCATGTTCATGCTTGTCCATGTCATGGAAACAAATCCTTTAGGGCTGTTTACTGACTCTCCGAGTGGGCCACTTCCCCCTTGCCTCAGTGTTGCTGGGCTAAGTTGTCACAACCAATTTTCAGTTTTCAGCTGATACGTTGGCAAGGCCGGTGCTCTCAGTGGCCTTGTGCTAGGCATCTTTCTGGTTTCACGCTCCCTTGTGGAGTTTTATTTAGTAATTCCTTTCTAGTTTGTTACTTCTTCAATGATTTTAACAATTTAAAACACATTTTAGTAGTACTTATCAGGAGGTTTGTCCAGCTTCACACAACTAGAAATGGCAGTTGGCTCATTCTTTTATTGAAACACTTGGTTTTTGATTTAATGGGACTTCAGATAGGAAGATGATGGAGTCCTGTGCGCGTTGCTCCTTGGAGTCTCCTAGCAGGAGACTTGACTCAGCCTCCTAGCAGCTGAAGCTCTGCATTGCCCCAAACGGGGCTGCTTTACCCATTGGTTAGGCACTTTATGACCAATGATAGCTCTGGCTCATACCGAAGATAATAACAATGAGGAAAATTTCTTTACCACTTCACTGTGCCAAGTGCTCTCTGCTTTGCATATATTACTTCATCATAAAATGTATCATGCTGTTTCATACATCGTTGCCTGAGTCTTAGCTACCATGTCACTTGTCTAACTTTGTATAGCTAGTAAATGGCAGAAATATGTGTCAGACCCATCCTGGGCTTCAGAAGTGGTGGGCTAGCAAATTCTAGCATGCTTTCTGTCTTCATGGAGTTTATATGATTTACTTCCTAAACTACTTCTCTACCTCATCTCGGGTTGCACTTTAAGGACACTGTGAGGTGGACATTTGAGATCTGAAAGCTTGACTCACTGGGATTTCCATGAGACTTGAAGATGTTTTATCATATTAGGAATTGACTATGAGTTCACACAAATGTAAAACAGAGATCAGCAAAGATCATAACTGTTCTCAGCTCTCTAGAGACACCCCACGATAGCAGAGAGCTTTGTTTGCTGGTATTGTCGGTATTAATTTCATTCTGTTTGTTGACTGTAAGACATAGTACTTATTTCCACACATCTTAGGCCAGAATTTGCTTTTAGTAGAATTTCTGTGTTGTTTGACATAGACTGTCCTGAGGACTATTTTGTGTATTTATTTTTTTCTCTTGAGTTACAGTTATTTGCTGGCATAAAGGATGGAGAAAGCTTGCAGCTCTTTGAACACAGTCCTCGCTCTGCACATAAGCAAGAGACACACAGCATGGAGGCCACGAAGCTTGTGGAATTTGACCTCAAGCAAACACTCATCAGGCTTGTGGCACATCTTTTCGGAGATGGTAGGTACTCAGACACCTTTCTCTTCAGGCTTCGATGTCCAGCATTTGTCATTTTCTAAGTCATTGAGATTAGTTTATCTAGATTATTTTCATCTAAGGTAGAGTTTATGATTAAGTTCTTTGTGGAATAGAGCCTATAGATTTGTTGATTTCTATTTGAGGAATAAAATGATATGAAATTGAAATTAGCTAAAGATCGAAAAACAATGGCAAGTTTCATAAGAATGATAATGGGTTAGGATCACTATTATTAGTGGACAGAAAGTATACAGGCTGATTTTTGTTATTATATTATTATATTATCATTAGATTGTACTTATTGATGGGCTATTTCTTAACCATCTGAATATCCCAATAGATTTTTTATATATTGATATGCTGATTGCTATTATCAACAAAAATTAACAGCTTCCTGTAGGAAGAACAATTTTGTTAAGATCTATATTCTCACTTTAGTTACTTTTCTTTAATTATTCTAGCAAGAGACTATTTTTGTAGTGATGTCCCCTTCTGCTTCAACTATTTCTAACTTAATTTATTTTGTTTGCTGTTAGAAAGATACAAAGATAAGGTTACAGGAATTTTCTGAATTGTGACTTACACTTAAGAAATGCCCAAGGACTGAGAGTGTGGCTCAGTGGTAGGGCACTTGCTCGTCTGTGCCCTGAGTTCTATCCCGAGTGCCAAGGGAAAAAGGGGGGAGGGAGGGAAGGAAGGAAGGAAGGAAGAAGGAAGGACATGGGGGAATACTTCCAAGGCAGAAGCCTAGCATGGTTAGGATTTTCCTTGATTCTTTTATGAGGTTAAAAAAACCAAGGTGCCAGCCAAATAGCTCAGCGGATTAAAGTGCCTGCAAGCAGGTATGGGGCCTGAGACCATGCCTGCTCCTGTAATCCCAGCACTTGGGAGGCTGTAAACAGGAGAATCACTATAAGTCCAATCTAGTAGTGAGAC